GCAGGCCCAGTGGCCCTGAGACCAGCCCCGCCATTCCCCTGGACGAGCTACAGTGACCCCCCAGCCGTCACCCCGCCAGGCCAGCCCCTGCTCTGTCAGCGCTGGGACCTGAAGGCAGCATGCCTGGCCCCCCCCTCGGTCCTGGGCCCCGGGGCCCCTCACAGAGCAGGCCCAGGCCTGGAGGTGGCGCCTGAGGACGGGAGGCTTGGGAGCAGCGGGGGCCCAGAGGGGTCTCCAGGGCTTAGACCCCCGGCCTGGCGGGCCGGCACAGCGGCTGACTCTGGACCGGACGGGCTCTCCCAGGCTCCCTGTGCCCTCGTCTCTCTGGACGCCCCTCTGGCCCACGCCTGTGTGTGCCCCTCCTCCACCCTCATCTCTCTCTGGCGCTCTGAGTGCCGGCACCGCACCTGCAGGGCTCCCCGCTGGCCCAGGAGGCGCTGGGCTGTGCCGCCAGTCTGGGCTGGGCGGGGGCCTGCCGGCTCTGCCGACAGCTGCGGGAAGTGCAGAGAACAATTGTGGCCTCCCTGCCAAGGCCTGCCTGGCCAGGACAGGAAGTGCGGGGGGCTGGGCCGGGTGGGAGCGCTGACCGCCCCTTGGAGCGCCCTAGATGTCCCGCCCCGGAGACCCTCCAGGAGCTACTGTGAGGGGAGGGGGCAGAGCCTGCCCTGCCCAGCTCCGTCACTCCAGGCTTGGCCCCCCGAGTCTGGTCTCAGGGCCTAGCAGGGCAGAGGCGAGGGCCACCGGCCCAGCCAGGACGAGCCAGGAGGACCCAGGAGGGCCGCTCTGATCCTGTTTCCAGCCAACCGGCAGGTGGGGACAGCTCTGCGTGCCCTCTCCCAGCAGCCCTCCCCCTGGTGAGGGCACAGCACGTTGCCCTGGGTGCTGCGTAGGGTCCCAGCAGGGAGACTGACTTCCTCTAGGAAATCTGAGTGAGGCCTTACCCAGCTTTCCTGGGTCCCCAGAGATACCTCGGGGACTTCAGAGCACCACGGGTGGCTGCTGAGCTGGGGGTGGTGGGGAGGCGGGCCCAGCAGCCATTTCCCTCTTCCCCGGGCGGAGAGAAAGAAGAGGAAACGCTACAGGGATGTGGGGAACAGAGCCAAGTGGGAGCCTTGGCAGCCTCAGTGAACGCCTGGATCCAGCCATGCCTGATTCCCGAACACCTGCACATGGGCTTATCCCCTGAGCCAGTCAATTCCTCTTTTCCCATAAGCTGGTTTAAGATTCGGCCCCGGCTACCCTGACTCATGACCGATTCTCCACACTTCCACTTGCATCCTTCTCCGTTAGATAGGTTTGTGTTCTCAACACAGATGTCTCCCTCCGAGAAGGATGCCGTTGCCACCACAGGGCGGCCCCAGGGTCTGCACTGAGAGCAGATGCAGCCGCCTCCTTCTGGAGCCCCAGCCAGGAAGGCGGGCTCTTCGGTGCCGCGTCTCTGGGAAGGCAGCGGGGCTGGGCGGGCCTCTGCTGAGTGGACGGTCCAGCTGAGTGGACAGCTGCCTCCAGGAGGGGCAGGAAGGGCGCCTGGGCCTTCCCTAGGGTGTCTGTTCCAGGTCTGGGGTGGGGAGACGCCCCCCAAATGCAGCTGCCCACCCCTGTGTGTACCTGCCTGCACCTCTCACTTGAGGCTTTCCAATTCCCCACTGGCGGGTCATGAGCAAGGCAGGGGACCAGAGGGTGAAGGGCTCAGAGGTCAGGTCACCAGGAGTGCGGCCGGGGCGGGGCTTTGGAGGACAAGGAAGCAGCCACGATCTTCAGGGAGAGAGGCTGTCTTCACTGCACGGGGGAGGGGCTCGGGGGTCCTTCAGGGTGTGCTGGCAGCCAGGGGCGATGACCAGCACGCTCCGCAAAGCTGACCAGGTTGTCTGCCCTCTCCCGGCTGCAGCAGCCTCCGGGCCCCAAGGCCCTTGACCTCGCTGGCCACGCCCACCTCCTCCGGCCTTGACCCTTCTCCGGGCAGCTGCGGTTGCGAGGCCTCCAGCCCACCTCCTCTCAGCACCCGCACAGCTCTGCCGGCTCCCTCGCTGCCTACCATGCCAGGGGCTCTGCTCAAACGTTGCTGTCCCACTGGCGAGCCCACCTAAGCTGCTCAGGCTCCCCAGTGCTGCCCCCAGCAGACCCGCCCCCATCCAGGCCGGGTGCACCCACGGCGTGTGCGGCGGCCGCCCAGAGAAGGGATGAGCAGCCGCCTCACTCTCCTGACCCCGTTAGTCACCGGGCCCCGCGTCTGGACGCCCGAGGGAACTAATTAACGCTGCTTCTGGATTACCTACATTTGCTCCCGCTGCCTCCCTCCTTCCTCCTCCCCCCGTCCGCTGTCCTCGGGGACTGGGAGGCGGGGCCAGGCTGCTGTCTCATTTACGGGAAGCAGAGGCAGGCTGGTCACGTGACGAGAAGCAGCCCGGGCTCCCCGGGCCCCGGACAGACCCTGCGGGGCGCCCCCAGGGCTCTGAGACCCTTCAAAGCCGGGCTTGGAGCGCGGCCCAGGTGGGCGCCGGCCCTGCTCCTGCGCACAGATCGTCTGCCTGATTCGCATTGAATAAGACCTAGCTCTCCGCCAGACCAGTTCCCACTCAAGAACTGATGGGGTGGGGGGCATGTAAATGATGCATTTGCACCCCCTCAGGTTTTTCGTGAAAGTCTGGAACTCAGCCGAGCCCTTGGCCGCCTCCTTCGCCCATGGGGGGTGGGTCTGGGTCTGGCTGGCCCCGTGCAGCTGTGGCCTCGGGACCCCAGCAGGACCTCTGAGCCGCCTGTCTCCCTCCAGAGCCGGGCCTGTGCCCGGGAAATCAGACGCCTGGGTTCCTGGCTGGCTGGGCAGGAGCTGCGCACTGATCCGCTGCGGGCTGATTAGCGCCCCAGGGAGGCGGGGCCCGGGCAGCAGCTGAGAGACAAAAACTGCAGGGGATCTGGGCAGGGGAGTTGGAGGCAGGGACGGAAGGCTCCCCACGATGTCGTTCAGATCCTTGAAGTCCAAAGGGCCCCAGCTGGAAGCTGGAAGCTCCCGGGAGCCAGCGGAGCCCCAGGGCACATGTCCCTGAAGCCAGAGGGCCCCGCTGCCTGGGAGCTGGCGGGGGGGGGGGGGATGCCTGGGACCCTTGGGTGCACAGCAGGGGAGGGTAAAGCCCCAGGCTGCACAGGGGGCCTGGGTATAAGGACCTGGGCCCCTGCTCCTCCCCCAAACTTTGCCCCTCACACCCCGTCCATAAACACATAAAGGAGGATTTCAGGTCGGGGCCACAGGGCAAGTTCCAGCGAAGGCCCTGCCCCACCCCGCAGACCTACAGATTAGCTGGGGCGCCGGGGCTGCCCCCGGAATCCCAGGGCAACTGGAGTGAGCCCTGGTTCAGCGACTCTGCCCTGCAGCCCTGGTGCCCCTGCAGATGAGCCTGACCGGGACCATGGGGGGGGCGGGGTGCCCTGGGCTGCTCCTGTGGCCTCAGGCCTGGGGCGTGGTGCCCGCCAAGGCCCCAGGGGGCTGAGGGTTCTGAGGTGCCCCCATGCCTGCAGACACCCCCCAGCAGCAGAGACCACTTCCCCCGTGGTCCCCCTTCTCCTGTTCTGCTGCTAGTCTGCCCCCTCCTTTCCCATCCCTTTCTCAGGAACGGGGCAGGGTGGGGGTGGGCAGAGAGGAGCCTGGGTGCAGAGGGGGGTGTGGAGGGACCTGCAAGTTGGGGAGGAGCGCGGGCCCTGCTGCTGGTTTGAAGCAGAGGAGCACATCATCCGGTTCGGTCCTGGCTCAGCTGATGCAAAGGAATCTCCCCGCTGCTGGGGTGGGGGCCCAGGGCAGCTCAGCGGAGGCCAGAACCCCCGTGGGGTGGGAGGCGGGGCGTTGCCCACTGTGGGAGGCTGGTCACCGGGTGCAGGTTGTGTGGGTGCCCGCCTGCACAGGCCCCCTAGCTCTGTCCCCCGGCCAGACGGTGGGCAGCGACACCGCAGCTGCAGCAAGCACACCCGGAGCCGGGAGTCTGGCTCCTAAACACCATTCCCCACCCTAAGGGGCCCGCTGAGGTCAGGGTTGGGGCAGGGTGGGCCTGGGAGGAGCCCGGAGCGTTGCGCGCCACGAGTTGAGGAAGGGCTGCGAGAACGATGAGATGTGCGGAAAGGAAGGGCCAGTGACGGCGGACCGTCCTGAGTCGGGGGGGGCTGTCACAGGGTCCCTTGAGGTTGTGGCCTGTGCGAGGGGTCAGCTGGCTCGCTGACAAATTCTCCAGCTCCCTCGAGCCCGGCGGGCGGGCGGGGCGGGGGGCCGCGGCGGCGAGAGGCGCTGGTTCGAGGCGGGGCGGGGCCGCCGGCCTCGCAGTGAAGAGGTGGAGGGCGGGGTGGCGTCGGAACCCAGAGGCCGAGGTGAGCGGGCACGACGGGCGGCGGCGAGGGAGGCCCCGTCTGACCCACCCCCCGTCCCCTTTTCCCGCCGGGGGTCTTCCGTCCCCCGCGGCCCCGCTGACGTTTCAGCAGCACCTGCCGGGCGGACCGTCTCTGCTCCCGACGCACTGTCCCGCGGTCTCACCTCCCCGCCCAGGCAGCCAGCCCCCGGGACCACTGGCCGGGCCCCCAACCCCGCGAGCCTCACGGGCTCCTCGGAGCGCCGGCCCTGTCCACGGCGGCGGGGCGTCCGGGAGGCCGACCTCGTCCCGACCGGGCCCGCCGGGCTGCCGCCTTAGACGGAGGAACCGGCCAGCTCCCTGGAACCTATAGGCCTGAGGGTCAGTCCCAGCTCGGCGTAGGCGGGGTGCGGGGCGCCGGGCGCCTGGCCGGGAACCGAGCCAGTCGGCAGCGAGAGACCCAGGCCGGCCCCTGGGGCGCGGATCGGGGCGCCAGGCAAGCTAGGCCTGAGGTGCCCCCGGACCCCGGTCCCCGAGGGTGCGGCTCCTTTAATTGGCTCTCACGCGCGGAACCGGGGCAGGAGGAAGCGCGCGTGCGCGCGCGCGCCGGAGACGGGGCCGGGCCGTGCGTGCGCGCGACGTGCGCGGTGACGCGGCCGTGGGGTTTCCCGAGGCTGCGGACAGGGGCCGCCGCGCCCATCGATGGCTGGAGGCGTCTGAGGGCGGACGGAGGCGGCGGCGGCGGCGGGCGCGGGCGCGGAGTGGAGCAGCCGCCGCGGGACCGGACCGAGCCTCGCCGCGTACCTGCCGCAGCGCCCGCGGAGCGGCCCGAGCGCGACCACCTCCCGGAGCGGCGGCCGAGGCGGCCAAGGCGGCGGGGTGCGGGCGCGACAGGCAGGACGAGCGCGGAGGTGAGCCCGGAGGCCTCCCCCCTGCCCGGCTTCGCGGCCCCGGTCGAGCTGGCCCTACCTCGCGGCGGGACCCCCGGCCTGTCGCCCCCCCGCCCCCCCGCAGTCTCCCGCCCCGGCCGCCCCGCCCCCACCCACTGCGGGGCCGCGTCTTCCTGCCCCGCCCGGGTGGGGTCTGCGGGGCTGGGGCGCGTGGGGACCCTGCGGGCGTGGGCCGGGGTCGGGGCGGAGGTTCGCGGCTCGGTGTCTCAGGTCCGGGGCCGGGGCTCGGGGTCCAGCTCTGGGTAGCTGGGTCTGCGGCTCGAGTTCTGGGGTTCTGGGCTTTTAGGTCAGGGTCTGGGACCAGGGTCCTGGGTGGGGGTCTGGGGTTCCTGCTGGCGTCTGGGGTCCTGGTCGGGGTTCGGGGACCTGGGCTCGAGGTCCAGGGCCCTAAGCTCTGGGTCCGTGCGCGGGCCCTGGCCTCCCCGGGGCTGGGCGCTGGGCCGGGGTCTGCGGCCCGGCCCCTCCCGCGCGCCCGGCCGCCGGCCTCGCTGCGAGAACAAAGGCGGCGTGTCCGGTGCTGCAGTGGGTGTGGGTGCCCGTCCTTTGCTCGGGAGGACGTCGTGTTTTAGGTGCCCCCTTTCTGGCGTCTCTGAAGTTCGGGTTCAGGGACGACACGATGGAGGGGGGACGGGGAAATGAGGAAGCGGGGCCCGGCCGGCGCGGCCGCCGGGGGACGTTGGAGGGGGGGGTCGGAGGCCGAAGCGAAGGGCTGTGCTGGGAAGCCTAGAACAATAGCGACTCTCCGCTGCCTTCGTTTTTACCGGGAGGTGAGCGGCGGCCCCACGGCCACCCTTTCCTCGTTGTTTTCCCCCTCGCGCGGCGCGGGGCCTGCGTGCGGGGCGGGTGGGCGGGAGGGGGACGCGAGGTGGGCAGGAGGAGGGCGGGGAGGGATCGGGAGGCCGGCGGGGGCAGGGCCGGGCCGGGGTCCGGGAGCCTCGATGAATGGCCGGGAGCCCAGGCCCCGCGACAAGATGGCGCGGCCGCCGCCGCCTTTGTCAGCGCCGCGCGCTCGCGGACCCGCGACTGCTGCGCTGGGCCTGGGGCTCCCGGGGCGTGACTCCGGGCGACCCAGGGGAGGGACCCCCCGAGGGCCGGGCGTCCTCCTGCGGCCCGAGCGTGCCCCTCGGGGACCGCGGGGTGCGGTGGGGGAGGGGCCGCGGTGACAATCCCGCCGGGTGGAGGCCCGGCCTTCGGCCCCGAAAAGCCTCCCCTGTTTTTGCTTGCAAATCGATGGTCGGCTCAGAAGGTGTTCCCGGTTTGTGTCCTTTTAGCCGCACGGTTGGCGTGCAGAGGTCGTGGCCTCGTCGGCTCAGGGCCTCTTCGTGGAAGCCCTTCCCAGCCGCGAGGATGGGGAGGGCCGCGGCGAGTGGCCTGCGCGACGTGCGTTGTGTCGTGGGGCGGGAGCGGGCAGTGACCAGCCTCAGCCTGTGCTTTCGGTTCGGGCGGTGCGGTGGCTCCGTGTCTGCCGTTTGGCTCTGTCTGAGACCTGACCTCGAATGCTGGATCCTTGAGAGTCCCGCGTGAGGTGTACTGAGGAGGTATGTAGGTTATTTCTCTCGATGAGCGAGTCCGCGGGAGCGGACGCTCTGCGAGGGGTTCGAGGCCCTGGGTCGGTCTTCAGGGCGGGCCGGGCCGCGAGGTTTCTGCGGGATTGATTTCTTTGTTTCCTGATTTGAGCTGTAGTCCTTCTCGGGGGGTGTGGAGGGTTTTTTTTTAACCTGAAATTAAGGTTTTAGTTTGACTTGTAGTAAGACAGGATCTGTTCTGGATTACTCCGGAAGGTACATATTGCAAAAAGGCAGTTCCTTTTTTGCTCCAGCACCCGCACTGGGTCTGTGGCTAGGTCTGAGGTGGCGCCGCCGACGCCGCCGAGGAGATGGGCGCGACACCTCCGCGGGGCGGGGCCGGCGGCCCTGGGCTTCCTTTCGCTTTGGAGCCAGGGAGCGCCCAGAAGCGGGTGAAGCTGGAGGGCGATCCCGCCAGGCCCCGATCCCGCCAGGCCCCGGCGGGGTGGGGGGTGCTTCCGGAGGCCTCGCCTTCCTGACACTCCCTTGGTGGGGGTGAGGGCTCAGGAGGGCGAAGTGAGTTTGGTGGGGGGGCCAGGGCTCCCCTGCAGCTTTCCCTGCTGGGCCCGTCGGCCCCACCCTGCCGGGTGGGTCAGAGGGCAGGGTGCCGACCAGAAGGTCCAGTCCTCAGCTTTGACTCAGGGGCGACACCTCCTAAGCGAGCACACCCACTAGGTGGGACCTGGACTCAGTCCGTGGTGGCGCGGGCTGCCCCGCCCCGGGCAGGACGCCCTGGGGCAGTTCCTTGGTGAAGGTTTCCCTTCGGTATCTCGAACTGCTTCTGATTTTTTGGGAGTTGGAAATAAGTTTCCTCTGATTGAATCGATCTCAGAAGAGATTCAGAAGAAAGCCGAAGTCTGCAGAGTGTCGTGCCGTCTTTTAAAAAGCAGACCTCTCATCTCACGACGAGGTCTTTCCCACGAGGTGGTCCCTGGAACTTGTCTCTGATCCGGTGGCTGGCCTGGGAAAGGTCTGTTTCTCTCCGGATCTCCTGAGAAGGTCGCCAGGGTCCCCGCAGACTCGTCCCGCACCAGCTGCTGCGCTGGGCAGCGCCGACCGTGCCTCAGAGACTCGGTGTTGGCGTTTACTGTCGTCTCTTCTTCATCGGGTTTCTTCCCTCTGCCCAAAAGGTTTGGCTCGGCTTGGTGCCTAAATCGGATTAAATTCTTACCGTGTGCGGGCTCCGGCTTTGGCGGCAGAGCCCTGGTAATAGGCGGTCTCGATGTCATGATCTGGGCCCGACCACATGGCACGCCGTGTTGCTTTGAAACCCCTAGTTAGCGCACGTCTGGTACGGCACGGGACACAGGTCCTGGGGTTTCTACACCCTGGGGTAAAGTCTGGTTTTAGGTTTGCGCGAGGTGGTCAGAGTGTTGCAGGAACGAAGGCCAGACCTAGGCCAGACAGGTCGGGCGGGCGTGGGGTTGGGTGGGGGTCGGGTGGGGCCGGGGAGGGGGCGGGCAGCACCGAGCGTGGAGCGGCGCTGGGGGAGAGACGCCGGTCCGGGTGCCGCTGGTGGCACCCTGGGGAGTGCCGGGGGGGCGCGCTGGTGGTCCTGCAGGAGGGATGGAGCGCCACTTCTCCCGCTCCTCCCCCCCTCCCCCGTTTTCTTGTTGCATGTGTCGGGGTGATGTTGGCCAGTACAATTCCACAGGTTTCGGGGGTCTGGTTCTGTGACACGTCACCTGTGGTGGCAGTGTGTGTGTGGCCCCCCGCCCCTTCTGTCTACAGCCATGAGCTGGGGCCCCCCGTGGGCGTGGAGCCCCCCTGTGTGGGAGCCCCGGGCCGGCGGGAGGACTGCTGCCCACGCACAGAGCCGCGGGTTTCCTAAAGGCCCGAGGGAGCGTTTGTTTCCGCGTCTGGCATAGCGAGTGCCAGTTCTGGCAAAAGGCACCTCTGCGAGCCTGATGATGTAGAAGGGCAGGTCGGGGTCACCCGAGGTGACCCGGAGGCGGGTGCGCAGTGAACCCTATGTTGCCCCTGCCGGGAGGGCGCTGCGGGTCAGCGGTCAGCGCAGCTGCTGCGGTGCTCTGCCTTGCGCTGGGCCGGTGGGCGGCTGTGAGTCTGCGTCTCCCTGTGGCTCCGGCTCAGTCCTGCGGCGGCCAGCTCCAGCGAGGGCTGTCCCAGCCTCCCGGGTGGCCTCCCCGGAGCATTGTCCCTGGGACCTCGGCGATTCCGGAGCTCTGCGGGGGGGAGAGGAGTCACTGGTTTCTGCGAGGGCCCGGGGTGCCCGAGGCGGGGCCTGGGTCTCTGGCCCACCTTGCAGGTTTGGGGGGGGTGACTGGTGCGTCCGCCCCCTCCTCTGTTGCCCCTCCTTCCTGGGGCGGCACCGTGTGTGTGTGGACACTGAGGGCGGCAGCCTCGCTTTCCCTGAGAGCGTGTCGCAGGAGCCGCCTTGCTGGGAGGCCCGCTCCTGCCCCCTGCGGCCCTGGGCGTGGGCGCCCCTTCCCGACAGCCCAGGCCGGGCCGCACCTCTGGGCCGCACCGCTCCCTGGGGGGACACAGTCCCTCGCTCTCGCCCGTCCTGGGGAGCTGGGGAGGCTCCCTTTACCTTCCGGGGCGCTTCTGATCCTCAGATGCATTTTGAAAACTGGTGAAGTGACTCACTTTTTGGAGATTTCACCTCACCCTTTGTGATGGTGAATATTTATTTTACTTCACAAAACTTTTGGCATCTTTTTCCTTTTTAAACCAACCCAAGTCAAGTCTCCTTCCATCACCGTTTACCCCCCTTTACCTGCCTCTGCCTCCCCCACCCCCTTTTCCTCGGGTCCTCATCGCGCTGTTAGCTTTTGTTCTTGGCTTAGTGCCCTTCCCCTGTCCCCCCGCCACCCCACCCCCACCCCCGTCAGCCTGTTCTCCGTGTCTGCGCCTCTGTTTCTGGCGTGCTCACCGGTGTGCTCGGCTCACGAGAGTCCACACCCGGGTGCAGGCGCACGTGCTGCTGTCTCTCGGGCCCACTTGCCCCCGGAGCACGCTGCTCTCCAGGCCCGTGCCTGCGGTCGCGGAGGTGGGAGCTCCCCTTGGGGGCTGTGCAGTGTTCCCTCGTGGGAGTGTGCTGCGGCTTCCCCTCCCCCATCTCCTGACGGGCCCTGGGGCTGCTTCCACATCTTGGCGATTGTAACTTTTTTTGGCGCTTTTTTTTTTTTTTTGGCACAGGAAAATGAAATATTTTCATATATTCTCTTAAAGACTGTGGCTGAAAACTGGTGTCACCGGCGCCTCTTGGCACCCTCTCTGCTGGCGCTGAGGGCGGTAAGCTGTCGCAGAAGGGTGTCGCCCGGGGCCTCCCTGAGCCGTGGTCGCCCGGGGAGCCCGACCGGCAGGCCGGGGGTGTGGGCGGCCACCCTGTGCCGGTTCGGTGACAGCCTCCTGGGGAGAGAGGGGAGCAGAGAC